AAAATACAATTTGTCTCTAGTCTAATCACCAGATAAACTAAAATTTTTATCCATTTTCAGGAGAGACAAGATGCTATGTACAAGCTGGTGGAGAAAAATTTGGATCTTATGCTTGTAGTTGGTGGGTGGAACTCAAGCAATACATCACACCTGCAAGAGATAGCGGAGGAACGTGGGATTCCTTCTTACTGGATTGATAGTGAGCAAAGAATTGGTCCAGGAAACAGAATAGCATACAAATTGATGGTGAGCTTGAACATAGTGATATACACCTAGACAACTTTTATTAGCTCTTTTCTCTGTCGATTGATATCCTTTTTGGGTCTATCAGCATGGTGAGCTGGTGGAGAAAGAAAACTGGCTGCCAGAGGGTCCAATAACAATTGGCATAACCTCTGGTGCATCCACACCTGACAAGGTAATTTCTATTGCCTATGAAATGATAAAACTGTCCGTTTGGTAGACAAAATAAAAAAAAAATAGAGAAAAAAATTATTTTGAATGAGAATGGCTCTCATTTTCCTATTATCGAAATGTGAAATGAAAGAATCAATATTGTGAAGTAATGATTGCAAAATTATGATAGATTTTGTCTGGAGAAACCAAAGCTTGCATTCTCATTCTTTTCATTGGATTCTCTAGTATGGTTATGCGGTGGAAAAGCTAATAAATTGTGCTTGTAATTGGTTCTGAATCAGGTGGTTGAAGATGTGCTCATCAAGGTGTTTGACTTGAAACGTGAAGAAGCTCTGCAGGTCGCGTAAAGTGAGTTTGTGTCATAGATCGTCAATGTTTAAAGCAAACGAGATAACCTAGTCCTATGTTTAGAGCTACACAATGTCAGGAGGTGAATGTTAAACATAGTCTTTTCGAAGTTGTCAACTGTTGTAGACAAGTGCGTGGGGGTTATATTTTTGTAAATCTTGGCCATGTGAAATGAAATTGCTGATGGCCGATGAGAGTGTCCCCCTTTGGAAATGGAAACGTTAGCGAGTAGTTACCTAGCAAAGCATAAAACGAAGCATAAAATGAAGGGGAAAACTTGTTGAAAATACTCATGGAAATTATCCCCTTGAATCTGCTCATAAATATGGTCCAAAAAGAAATCTGCTCAAAAAAAAATTATTATTAGGAGACTTAAAGTGCGTGTATATCGAAGATGTCTATCCAGGTTGTATTATACTCTTTTTGTCTCAAATCATAAAATATTTTTAAATAAAATTTTATATATCAATAAACTTTATTGAATGTACTTAATAATATTTATTTTTTCAACACAAAAATATAAATTTTTAAAAATATTTTTCATTTAACAACTTTAAATTTACATGTAATTAGTATTAAATGCATACATGCATACATATGTGTGCGCATATATATATATATGTGTGTGTAAAAAGGGTAATATTAAAATTATTAAGAGGCTTAGAGTGCATGTATATTAATGTAAGATGTCTATCCACTGTGTTATATTTTTTTTTCTCAAATTAAAATATTTTTAAATAAAATTTTATATATCAATAAACTTTATTGAATATATTTAACACTATTTATTTTTTAAAAAAAATATAAACTTTCAAATGTAATTAGTATTAAATACATACATACATATATATAGATATAGATATAAAGTGTAATATTAAAATAAGTTTATTTAATAAATTTTTAATCATCTTAAAGAGTTATATTTTGGAGTGTCAAAAGTCTTTCAAAAATGTTTTATAATTTGAGATAGAGGAAGTATTATAAAATGACAGCTATTTAAATATTTTATTTTTGATTGTAACTTTAATGAATAAATTTAAAATGACAAAGCCTTATTCATTGTGTTTTTCTTTTTCAATTAAACATATTAGGGTATTAGGTGGAACTTGAGAATCTAATAGAGATGAGAGCTATATGTGGACTTAAGAGATGAAAGGTAAGGTAGAGCATGTGACGAAAGGTAACTAGATCTTAGGTACCAAGCTCATACTTTAGATGGTAAGAGGTCTGAGTTTCTTTAACCATCAACTCTTAGATTCAATTCTTGAGGTGATGGGAATGGAGAAAATATACTTGGGCGGGCTACTTTCATTTGGGACCTTATAATGCTCGAATTCATATTAGTCAAGATTATTGGCTTTGGATACCAAATGATTATACAAAAAATCTAGATCTTAGGTTGTATATGGCAGAGAGCTTAGCGCTGTAACTCGTAAGTCATATTGTCTACAATCATGAATGTTGCGGCCTCCATTATACAAGGCAACCATGACAATTCATGTATTTAGTGATATAACTAGCCATTCCTCTTTATATAAATGCCAAGTTAGGGAAGTTCTACCTTCTAACTATGATAATTCATGCATGCAGAACGGACTTGTGCATATATATATATATATATATATAAATACTTAGGTAGATGGGATGCACTAAATCATTTATTTTTTATCTAATACAAAATATGACATTTAGATAGTTGAAAAGCCTTGAGTCGTGTTAAGCTTCTCAAAAAAACTAGTGTAGTAGTATGAGCACCCTAAATCATTCCATCTTCAAGGAGAAAGTAATTTGCAACTAAATCAAGCCAATGATCATGACAAGTTAAAAGCTCATAGTTGAAGTTGAGAGTTTAAGAAAGAAATTAAATGTTTATATTTGATTTTAATGTAAAGAAAATGTGTAGGAAACAATCAAGTAACAAAGTAGCTTCCCAAAATTATATTCCACCACTTCTACCCTTGTTCTTACTTACCTTGTTTTAAATTCAATTGCCTTCTTCAATTGATGTGTGAAGGTGTCTTAAAGACCATTAAGACTAGGTGATAGTGATTAGAACCTAGTAACCACTTAGAATCCAATGCACAAACCACCTAAATAGATACACCAATTTGTGATTCAATCCTTGAAACTAGTCTTAACTCTTGCTTTGACCATGTTTAATACCTTAAACCAATCAAGATTATGATATTAACTAAAATTTAAGAAGTAAACAATAGCTAATACAAGTCTAAATAGCAAGAGATTGAAATGTAAATATGTATTTATTTATCAAAACCTTGAGGCATAAATACAAACACTTAAAATACACAACTAGTTCAAGAATTAAATATACATCTTCTTCTTTTTGAAGCATAAATTTCAACCATAATAATTAATTGAAGACCTAGAATCAATCGTCGAGAGCATGAATTATAGAATTAAAGAAGGAGAAGAAAAGAATTCAAAGAAATTAAAAGAAAAAGAAAATGTTTAAGAGAACTCAAGATGTGGCTTTATCTTTCTTAAAAAGTTTTGAGAATCTAGCCTTTTATGATAAATTCTCCTTGAATCTAAGCTTTAATCCTCCTTAACATGACTTCCACGATAGTTGCTTGAGATGAAGGAATGTAGCTAGGAAAGTGTGAGAAAATGAGAGAAAATTCGGATGAAGTGGTGTTGAAAATTTCAAAAAAGTGAGAGAGAATAGGTATGAATTGTGATGTGAAAGATGAGTTAATGAGTGTGTGCACAACCCAAAATCCCTATCTTCAGCTTGTGATAGTGTAAAATGAGTAAAATAGGATGGTTTTGAGGTGATTAAAGCCATAAAATATCTAAAACTACTTAACAAACTTGATTAGGAGGTTTGAGAATGAATATGGTCACCATTCAAGCTATGTTAACTTAGATTCACATGTAGCTCTTGTAAGATGCTCCACACTTGATTAGAACTCTCTAAATACTTCTAAAAGATGATCAAAAGGTGATTAAAGGTTGCTTGATCGAAATCATCAATGCTTAGAGTCATTATAAGCTTGTTAAATCAACTCTTGCACATCAATCAATCTAGGGTCCTTTTGCTTTGTAGTTTGTCTTATAATCTCATCTCTTGGCAATTTAATTTTCATCCAAATCCTTGTTTGCGCTTGCAATTATACACATAAGAGTGATCAAACCATATGTGAAAAATTTCAAATCAAAACTTAAAGCTAATTGTAGGTATAATACAATTTCCAAGCTCTTAGATTATAAAACATGATAACCTAGTATTAATATTTTTGTTTTGAAACATCCCATGACTTATGTCTTTTGATGCCTCTTTATAACTTAAAATGAATTTAAATCTCAAACTTATTCCATTGATTTTAGGAAGACAAAAAATACAAAATAAACTAATGTCTCTAAATTGCCCAAAAATTGTCAAAATGACCAAAATACTCTTAGACTATGAATGAACCTTAATGATTCTAAAGGCCTAGAAATGCCTAAATATATAAGAATTAAGTTCTCAATGATGTAACGATGCAACCAAATCAACATAAAATATATACAAATAATGTAATATGTCAATTGTGTTAAATATAAATTGATTTTGATATTAATGATAGTAGAGAGAGAAAAGACATGAAATCAAATATGCATTTTGTTATAAAAATAAAATTAATTTAAAAAAAGTCACACAAGATTTTATTTAGATTACTTAAAACATTTTAATTGAATGGACTATAAATGATATAATATATCTGGCCTATCTAAGTATTTCTCTATATGTACGGATGTAAATTAGGCGAGATTCTTGCTTTCCGGGAAATTCGAAAGTGGGCAAAAAGAAGGGAGTAGAAATTTAACAAAAATATGTATTTAAAGTAAAAAGGTATTTCAACAAAATAAAGACAATTAGATTACATAATTTTAATTTCATTTCAGAAAAAATTATTTAAGTAAAAAATATATAATTTGAATATGCCGAAAAAGATTCAATTTGTTTATATAAAGTGAATATGTTAATAAGACTTTGGATGTTGGAATTTGACCAAAACTTTATACATTAAATTATAACTACTGCAATTTGCAACAACGGTCCCATGGTCTAGTGGTCAGGACATTGGACTCTGAATCCAGTAACCCGAGTTCAAATCTCGGTGGGACCTTTTTCTTTTTTGTTAAAATTATCACCCTTATCTAATCTTTGCTTGCTTATTAGACGGCCACAAAAGCTTGCGTTGCATCCATTTCCCGCTAAACCCAACAGTAATGCTTCTCACTCTTGTTCCTTGCCAATACTCTTGCGTCTGAAAGAGAATAATAGTATTCCAATTCCCTTTTGCATCCAAAAATCAAGCTGATTCAACAAGTACCCTCCAGTCTCCTCCTTCCAACCCTGCATGAAACGTTGCTATACCAAACATGTAGTGTTGATATGTAATTGGACGTGTGAGTGTCTTATAGGTTAAATCTCTCTTGTCAGTTTTCAACCTTGCGATGTTCATCGGCAATTCTCACCTTTCTGCTTCACTCCTCCCTTCCTTGGTTCAAAAATTTCCAAAGCTTTCTCACTCTCCCACTTTGAATTCCACTCAATCCCCATCAAACGTTTCTCTCACCCTCCATGAATTTCACCCCGATTTAGAAGAAACCCAGCAGATCCATGCCCACTTGATCAAAACCTGTTTCAATTCCAGTGATCAAATCCCTTTTACTGCACTTCGTAGTTACTCTAGTTATTTATCGCTTCACAGTTTCCTGCTGACCTCTTACATCAAGAACAGTTGCCCCGTAGAAGCTGTGAAGATCTATGCCCATATGCGTAGAACTGACTCAGAACTGGACAATTTCCTCGTACCGTCAGTACTCAAAGCTTGCTGCCTAATTTCTTCTATCCTGCTAGGGAAAGAGATACACGGTTTTGCGGTGAAAAATGGATTTGATGGGGATACTTTTGTTTGTAATGCCTTAATCCTGATGTACAGCGAGTGTGGAAACCTAAAGCTTGCACGCCTGTTGTTTGATAAAATGGTGAACAGAGATGATGTTTCTTGGAGTACCATGATTTGGAGCTACAGTCGAAGTGGGCTGTGTGACGAAGCGTTGGATCTTCTTAGAGAAATGCACGCCCATGGAGTTAAGCCTAGTGAGGCTGCATTGATAAACATGGTTGCTGTCTTTGCACAATGTGCAGATTCAAAATTGGGTAAAGCCATGCATGCTTATGGAGTGAGGAATCAGAAATGTGAGAAATCTGGAGTTCCTCTTACAACTGCTTTAATAGATATGTATGCTAAATGTAACACTATAGCTTATGCAAGAAGACTCTTTGACGGGTTTTCTGAGGCTGGGATAGTGTCGTGGACTACTATAATTGCAGGATGCTTTCATTGCAATGATTTAAATCAAGGGGTTAGATTTCTTGCCAATATGTTGAAAGAGGGTCTGTTTCCAAATGAGATTACACTGCTCAGTTTTTACAAAGAATGCGGATTCATAGGAGCTCTGGGACTTGGCAAGTGGTTACATGCCTTTACTTTAAGAAATGGATTTAACATTTCCCTGGTTCTGGCTACCGGTCTGATTGATATGTACGGAAAATGTGGTGATTTTGGAAGCGCAAGATCCGTTTTTGATAGCGTTACTAACAAAGATTTAACAATGTGGAGTGCTATGATTTTTGCTTATGCACAATCCAATTGTATAGACCAAGCTTTTGACACCTTTGTCCAGATGACTAGTTGTGGAATAAGACCAAATAAGGTGACCATGGCTAATCTCCTTTCGTTATGTGCAAAAGCTGGAGCCCTTGAAATGGGCAAGTGGGTTCATGCTTACATAGACAAGCAAGACATTAAAGTAGATATGATTCTGGAAACTTCTTTGGTGGACATGTACGCCAAGTGTGGTGACATAGATGCAGCTTACCAGCTGTTCACTAAAGTCACTGACAGAGACATACTGATGTGGAACACTATGATATCAGGTTTTGCGATGCATGGCTATGGCAAGGAAGCATTAGAACTCTTGAGAGAAATGAAAAGACTAGGAGTCATCCCTAATGACGCCACATTTATTGGAGTTCTTCATGCTTGTAGTCATGCTGGACTTGTGCTGGAAGGGAAGAAACTCTTTCAGAAAATGGTCCTTGAATACAATTTAGTTCCAAAGGTCCAGCACTATGGCTGTATGGTAGACCTTCTTGGTCGAGCCGGATTTCTTGATGAGGCTAAGGAACTAATTAGCAGCATTCCCATGAGGCCAAACATGGTTGTGTTAGGATCTCTACTAGCTGCATGTAAAGTCCACAAAAATCTCAAACTTGGGGAATGGGCTGCTGAACAGTTTCTTTCATTAGAACCTGAAAAATGTGGCTATAATGTTCTAATGTCAAACATATATGCAGCAGAAAATAGATGGGATGATGTTGCTGGTATAAGGAGAGCCATGAAGGATGTGGGAATTAGGAAAGAACCGGGGATCACAACCATTGAAGTGAAGGGCTCAGTTCATAACTTTGTAATGGGAGATAAGGCGCACCCAGCAGCTGAGAAAATTTATGAAATGATAGCAGAGATGAGAAAAAAGCTAGAAGATGCTGGATACACACCAGATACATCTTCTGTGCTGCAGAATCTTGATGGGGAAGAGAAAGAAACGGCACTGAATTATCATAGTGAAAGGCTGGCTATGGCATTTGGTCTTGTAAGCACAGCTCCAGGTGTTCCAATTCGATTAGTGAAGAACCTTCGAATTTGTAATGACTGTCACGCTGCAACGAAGTTGTTGTCCAAGATTTATGGGAGGGTGATAGTAGTAAGGGATCGCAATCGTTTTCATCACTTCAAAGAAGGATCTTGTTCTTGTATGGACTATTGGTAGGAACAGTAAAAATGAGACAGGGCGCATCAGAAATTACCTCGTTCGTGGATGTAGCACAATGATCGCCACTCGTCAAAATCTCTGAGATGAGCCTTAATTATTCATTTACGCCTTTGTAATTACGTCACCTATTCTATGGCTGGTTGTGAAATACATCTTATAAATTTTTGAGATGGGATTGCGCAATTGCGTAATATTCTAATTCTAATATTAATTAAATAGTATGTAAAATTGTATTTTTAATTTTTACTTACCTTCAATTATATATATATATATATATATTTACATTTTTTTGTAATCAACATAGAAAAATAATAAAAGCATAGGTACCAGAAGAAAATTAACTCACATGCCTGACAAAAATATTGGCAAAATATAATAATAAGAACTAAATCAAAAACAATTTAAACTATAAGCACGTAATTACATATTTTAAAGTATTAAATAGTAGTTTGACTTTAAACTTTAAATTATGAGATTCTAAACTCATTTTTTTGGTGCGTCTTTATTGTAAATAAAAGTTAATTTTAACGTTAGTTGATTAAAAAATAATTAAAAAATTTACAGAAAATGATCAAAAACATGAAAAAAGATTCAAAAATTACAAAGAATGACTCAAATTACAGAAAGGGATGATAAAAATTTTTAGTCTCTTTCTATAATTTTTGATGTCTTTTTTTGTCATCTTATTAATTAATAATCAAAATTAACTTTTATCAATGATAAATGTTACATTGCATTGCTTTCAAAACTTGAGATGATCCTTTAACCCCTATTTTAAAGCCATAATAATTAAATTAAAATTGAATGAATTTATGGAGATTAGGATATTTAAAAAAATAATATTTTGATTGCATTTTAAGTTTATTTACAATTACAATTTATAATTTCGATTTGATTTCTTAAATTAAATGTATTACATGCCAAATTCACGTTTGACTTCTATAGTTTGTATTTTGTAGCTGATATGCTTTAAATTGCCAACTTTGCCCAACAAATTAGCGGATGAGTTGGACGTTAGACAAATGTCGGGGTCTCTTGAGTTGCAAGTTAAAAGACTTACTTTACTTGAAACAAAATTACTGCAACAAACTGAGATAGTAATAAAGAAACTCTAGGATCAAGATACTAATTAAACACGAAATAAAAGGAGGGGGAAGCTTATAAAAAAGGAGGATTAAAAAAAGGTTAAAGAATATATTTTCCCTGTAAGTTTTTTTGGCTTGGTGTAATTGGAATTATTGACTTTTAATTGATGCAATATTATTCCAAAATTTAAAAAAAATGATGCAATTTTATCCTAAAGTAAGGTTTGACCAACATTAACTGTTAGTTGAAAACTCTGATAAGGGCTAATGAGCAATTTTGCCTTGAAAATTTTTTTGAACAAGTAATTAGTATGCTAAACTTTTTATTAGTGCAATGGTTTTGAGCTATCAATATTTGAATAAAAAAAATTAACAATCCATTATCATTGCTAAAAATGATTTACATTCATAGATTTTGACTAAAGGTCCTTCTTGAGGTTATTTTGACACAATTATTTCTATCCCGCGTACTCTATATACTTTCTTTTGAAATTTAAACTTACCCTTGTAGTATCTAAATAGTTCTTAGCTTGCATAAATTTAAATGCTTAAATGCAGACTTGTTCAAACTTGCTTGTGAGTAACATAGATTAGCTTGAATTTTGACTAGGGGGCATTCAACATAAATCAATCTAAAATCTTTTTCTAATTTTGGGTCATAACAAGTTTTGTTGATCTTTTCTTATGATTTAAAAGTTGATAACTCAAAACTATTGTACCAATTTAAAGTTTAGGATATCAATTACAATTTTAAATAACTTTTTGAGACAAAATTACTTTTTAATATTTAAAATAACAGTTAATGTTGGTCAACCATTATAATAGGGTGACATTACATCATTTTTAAAACTTTCAAAGTAGCATTAAGTCAATCAAAATTAAAGGATATCAGTTGCTTCTAACAAAAAACTTCCTAGACAAATTTGTCCTTTAACCCATAGAAAAGAAAAAGGAAAAAGAAAGTACCTTCGCATCTATCCCAAAAGTTGCACAATCATTTGGACGTAAAAGGAAGATGTGTATAAAAATATGAACGGATCAAATATCACGACCCTCTTGTTAACATTCCATGCCATAATTTAACCTCGAGATGCTCCTTAGAGAACAGCTGGATTTGCCAGCAACTTAATATTCAAATCTCTATCCTCTAAAATCTAAACTGGTAAAGCAAGATAGCAAGTATAAGGAGCCAGAAACGAGCTTTACCTCTAGCGAACAAGAACTAAAAACAGGAGTAGCAATCAAAATCCTTAAATCAGTACACTGTTGGTTGAAAAGCACAAGAAATTCCACCTGACTCAACTGACAGAATGAATAAATTCAGCGTGTGATTTTACTATGTTAAGACACGAACGCCTCGTGTTCGCAGACGGAAGATACATATGCTAAGATCAAGGAATTAAATACAAATGAGAATGCTTCTAATGAGTTATTTCAAAACAAACAGACAGAAGGTAGTCTTCAGTTGTTGGGATGCTTTATGATTCTTTGCAGAACCACAGTCCTTGCCTTCCTAATGTCACGGCTGCAAGTATCAGCTTGGACTCCCAGTTCTTCAACATTCTTCATAAACACTCCCAGCTTCTTCTTGATCTCATCTATTGCTTCCTTCACAGCTTCTACTTCAATGGCAAACTCTGCATTCTGAATTAAAGACTCAATCTCAATCTCCAACCGATCAATTAGAAGCCGGATGTTATCCAGATCCTTTATGGCAACAAAGGTACCAGCCTGCATTGAGCTTATCAATTCCTTCTGACCTTTCAACACATCTTCATATTTCTTCCACAGTGAATCTATCCACTTTCCCATTGACCCAATTGGGACGGAAGCAGCAGCAGCAAGAGCAGCTGCAACATGCGGAGCAGCAATGGCTGCTGCTACAACTGAGCAAATCAAAACAGCAGCAAATGTGGCCACAAATATTGTGCCAGTGACCTTCCTCCAAGTATGTGCAAGTTTAAGTTTCTTATCAAGCTTGTGTTTTCGGGTTTGCAACTTCTCAAGTATAAGTATCTGTTGCCTATAAACAGACTGAAAGATTTGGTAAAACTCTTTAGTGAAAGGATCACCAGCTGCCTTGAAATTCTTCAGCTCCTGCAATGTCCTATCATAACAGTTCCCAGGCAGCTTGGTCTCCTCATCGAACTGTTGAAGGGCCACGAGAATAAGCAACTGGCTGTCCCGAGCTCTCTGGAGGCACTTCTCTAATGCAGTACAGAAATCCAAAGTTTGCAAGCTATTCTCAAAGTACTCCTCAACCAACTCAAAGAGTTCTTGGCTTTTCCATATATCTTTCTTGCAGTTCAATATCACTTTCACAACTTCCTGATTCATCTCCAGAAGACATTCTGTGATTTGTTTAAGAGAATCAAAGGAAAGGGATCGGAGTTCCACACCAACTGCAAGAGTATTTATAACATGATTCGTTCTAACATGCAGGGTAGTGTCAAATGACTGCATATCAGCATCTAGCTCGCAGGCAGCTTCGTAAGAGCTCAATTCAGCTGCGTATTGCATATCAGTACTGGCATCAATAATAGCAGACGACGATTCAGGCATCTTCTTGCTGATATGGCTTCCCATTGCTTCGATAAATTGAAATCTGATTAAAGAAAGAGAAGAATCAGAATCAATTCAAATTTCAAAACCCCTTTATTAGAAAAAGACCACGAATTTCACCAAATTTTCTCTCGTCCGATTAGTAAAGCAAAAGGCCAATTTCCAAGTACAGCTCTCGAGAATAATAAATCTGACTTAAACCAGCAAGCACGAGGATAAGAATACCCTATTTGAACATACCAATTAATGTTATTGCGACAATCAAATCATCAGAGACAGGCACAAGAATATCGATAATGAAAATGAACCAACTGAAGCAAACAGATCCAGGGACCGATCCTTTAAAAGCTCGAACCTCTCGAAAGTGATTAACGAAGTGAATATAGATTATACTTCGGGATGATGACAAAGAAAATCGTTGAAGCTGACCGATGGGCTTTCGGTTTCTGAAATAGGGAAATAAATATAAAAGCAAGATGAAGAGCTTGAGGTGCAAGATAAACTTACACAGAATCTTCGAGGTTAGCAGATGTAGAACAGATAGGGGCCAGGAAATGTGGCGGGGTTTAGATTTGAGAATCGCTTGCACGCTTCAGAAAACAAAATGACGGTTTTGGGAATGAGAAGGAAAACGCGGGAAGGAATGTACCTTCTTCTCTCTCTAGAATTATCTCACTTTTAACGGTGTTTCAACGCGCAAAGCAACGATTTTCCCAAAAGGAAGAAGCGAACACGATGAGCTCAAAGAAGCACAAGCTTCTTCCGCTCAGGACCGGAAATTACGCAGGAAAACGCAGAAAACAACCAGCTAAAGATTCTGATATAAAAGTAACCAAAATTTGTGTGTATTATAAATAAATATCGGACAAGCCAATTAAAGTACAATCAAGTTATTAATAACAGTATCCAACTTTAATCTACGAGTCAAATGGAAAATTCCAAATCGGCCATTGCGTACAGAAAACAGGAAAATCCATGCTTGGATTGAGCGGCAAGGATTGAGGTATAAGTTTCTGAGGGATCTAATTAAAATGTGACAACATGATCGACAGTGTCGATTGCTGAATCAAAATATCTACCTTGAAGTTAGTTAGAAAGTGCTCAGAAGTATATGTGGTGCGAGAAAGAGATCAAAACATGGAGTGGCGTCGACTTTGGCGAATTGGCGCACATTTATGAATATGATCCATCTCCAGCTAGTTACTTAATGCGCAAGTAGTTAGAAAATAGAAAAATCACCCTAAAGGCCACTGGTAGAAACGTATTTACACTTACAGCCCCAACTTGGAGAAATCATCTTGAACAACCTCTAAAGAAAACAAAATGATCCTTAGTTGATTTTTGGGTTAATATGCAATTAGGATTATAAATTATCAATTCAAAAGCGATTTAAATCATATACTTGTAATGGGTATATTTTTCAATCCTAAGCAATTAAATTTAAAACATCATTACCCTATCGTTAATTTAGTCTGACGTTACGGTTAGTTAAAAAAAGAAAAAGTTTTTTTAACCAAATTTTTCTTGAGTGTCATGCTAGTAGTACAGGTCAATATTTTCAAATAGGTAAATTGGTAATCATAATAGACTTGACAAAAGCGCCCATCATTTTTCTTTCAAGTTTTTGTTACTCTCTCTCCATGTGTTTGATCTTTGATGTCTCACTCTCTCCTTCCTTTGATGAATCTCATCCGAACAAGCTCCAAAGACCTTGAAAATCTCATCCATGCTTTCTTATGAATCTCAATTTCTGCAAGATGCTAACCAAAATGACAAGTTGACAACACCAACATGCAATACTCAAACTCTCATAACACATGAAACAGTCTCGCAAAGACTTTGTCGAATGAGCTCTTTGACATTAAATCCCAAATGAGTTTCTTTTAAACACCTTATCTTGAAGGAAGTAGGGATGATGATTTTGGAGCTCGCCATGAGCCTTCTCTGTCTGGCTAACAACAATGTTGACAACATTCGCATGGCGGCACATAAAGTTATCTTGAGGCTAACGACCGATCAAGCAGTAGTATAGGTCTCAACATTGGGTAGATGAGTAGCGTCTTAGACCACAGATGCCAAGAGGGAGGGGGAACGTTGAAGAGAGAGAGTGTGTGAGTGAGTGAGAGAGGGGGGATTATCATGGCTTGTTTGACTTTATTCTAAACACCCATCCACTTGTCTATTTTTCCCACTTTTGCTTATTGAATTTCAAGCCACCCCCTATGAAGACCTTCACGTTGTCCTCCCCTTCTAATGCCCCCTATCACCATGCTAAATTCCCTTTCCCTTTACCTCCTCCTTCTAGCTTCATTAGTGAAGATAATGATGTCTCTATGTTAGTGAGGAAGCTCGTTGTTGCATTAGGGAAATCCTTTTGTTGCATTGCCCTTTGTCTCCTTCTCACCTTTCTCTGTCCACATTCAAGCCACAAGAGAGAAACAAAAGGAAGGTGCAAGAGGCTTGTTCAAGTTATTGTTGGGGGGTGGGGAGGAGGGAGGAAAAGGAAGAGAGTGAGACATAATGGGGAGAGAGAGAGGGGGGGACCAAAAGCTTGGAGAAACAAAAAATGATGGACCTTATTTTATCTAAAGTTACTATCATTAATTCCAAATTAACCATAAGAGCAAGGATAATTCAAGTTTAATTATTTAGAGTTTAAAATATACTGATTATGAGTATAGGATTCAAATCATTCTTGAAATTATAGTTTATGGTTCAAATTACATATTAATTTTTAGTTTTTTAAAAAAAGAAAAATACCTCTAAAGAAAACAAAATGACACATAACTCTAAATTATCGATAATACATTTCTAAATTACAAAAGTCTAGTTATGAATTATTGACAACTACTTGTAAATCATAAATATCTACAACTTAAATTTGATATATCAGACGTAACTGCAATTGTGATTATGAAAATTTAATTATAAATCATGTGCAATTTATTTATAAATTGGGGACATTAAAGGTAATTATAGTTGTAATTATGTGTTATTCACTAATAATTATGGAAGGAAACTTAGCAGTAAATCATTTAGAACTCAAATTTATGATATATTTTTTTACCGAACAAATTTATTATATCTGAGGCAATTACTCTTGTAAATTATGAAAACTTAGCAGTAATAAATAATCTAAAATCCAAAGTTGTCATGTTTAATTTATTATTGGCATTTCATGTTTTTGCAACTATATATTTTTTTTTTTACCAATTGCGACTATATTTTTTGTAGTTTATAAATAAGCTTTTTTGCAATTTATAGATGCATTGCCGGTAATTTATAGCTACGTATTGTTTAATTTTCTCCATAGACATTTTTGTCTTGACATTCTGCATGTTCAGCTAAAGGCTAAAGTGTAACTGTGCATGTAACCTATCAAAGCCGGGGTACTTAAGTGCAAATATATTTTTACAGATGCCCTTAGGTGGGATTTTCCCTTACAAATATTCTCCTTGGATAAGATATAACAATAATTTTCAAACAGACAAAACAATTATGAACAAAATGTTATGGAAAATTAATTAATTAATTAGTTATCAGATAACTTGACTTGTGAAATCTAGTCAAAATGCATATGTCACATAACTTTTAAATGGGTCGGTCCCATGTTCACACTAAATAAAAAAAGAAATTAGGTACATCAGCATAATAAGTGCCTCATAAGTCATGGTGATGGATTTTATAATAAATAATGTAATATGGAGCTTAGATGGTTGCTTTATAACAAAAATTCGGGTAGAAAATATATTTTTATACATTTTACAACGAATATTTTTCAACCTTTAAACCTAGACAATTCTTCAATTTTCAGTATATTATATATACACACACACACACACTCTTCACCCTTTAAACCTTGTATATATTTTCGATTTAGCTTTTTTTCTTGTCACATCTTCTATATGGCTTTTTGAATAAACTATTGTTTCTGGACCCCCAATGTTTCCAATGCACACCAAAAAATATAAAAAAAATTGTTTGACTCATATAAAAATAACAGTAAATATATGTAAAAATTAATTATTTTTAAAACATCACTTATACATTGATTAAATACTCTATTTTTATTTTTCTGGTAATTAAAAGTACCTTATTTTTATTTTGCATTAGCAAACAGGCCTCAAGCCATCAACCAGTGGAAAAAGAGCATGCTAAAAACGGAACGATGGAAAAAAAAAAAAAAAAAGACTAATAGGTTTAGTCGCTACGGGTGAACGCTGTGGCGAGCGCCTTCATGGAGGCAAGCGAGAAGACGAGTGTGGCGCAGCCAGAGCCGTCAACTGCTCTGGCGTACCTGGATCCTCACTACTGGTAACAAAGTTCGCTTTCTTCTTAACTTTGATTGACCGATGAATTTAACGGAACTTATGCTCCTTGGTATTATTGTGCGTTTAGGGACGAGAGATTCTCCAAGGAGGAGCAGTATGAGTGGTTCAAGGATTATTCCCACTTTCGACACCACATTCAAGCCCACGTTACTTCCCATTCCTCTGTAATTCCTTTTCTCGAATGAGTTATTATGCCTATTGCTCTGCTCCTTGCTCAATCATTTGTGTTAGATTTAGTTATCTGAGCTCGGATGTTTCTGGCATTTGACGCAACTCTTTTTCTAGTTATAGAAATAAAGAACGCACTAAACAGATAAGAAACTAGATAATAACATAAGAGAGCAGGAGTGCATGTCTAAACATAATGCTTCTTTTTATTAAATAAACAAATAAATAAAGCACCTGTCTTGGAAAAGGAAACTTTTTGACAGCGATCAAACCATTCTTTTACATGAAAATTGGATTTTTAATGACATCTAGTTCGATTAATTTGTTGTGAAACAGGACATGAATAAAGGGAGGGAGGGAGTACGGTAGAAGAAAACTATTTAATAGAATGAAATAGCTAGAGCCAGTAAACGATAAATCATATACTGCCAGTCTGCTAGAAGCTTTTGGTCTGTTTCTCTGATTTGTTCTCTATCATTATCAACATATGATAACTTCTTGATATGCTTTCAGTCAGGTTTTAACCGAAACCGTTCCTTTATTCTGAAGATACCAAATTTAGTTGACCAAAAAGAGAAGCAAGGAGAGAAAAATTATAAATGATTATTTATCAGTGGAATACACATGACAACCAATCATTTCACTCACCTCATCCACTTTTTTCAATCAAGACATTATTGCTGTAAAGCAAAGTGAGATGGGGGAAAAAGTTCAGGTATTCTTCAAAATCTTAATAGAGATGATTATTCAGATCGGACATCTGAGTGAAACCACAAAATCAGGGAGAGAAAGAAATTAGATAGTAATTGAATGTGAACTATGAGAACAAAGCTTTTTCCCCTCTGTTTGTCGTTCAATAACTGGCTTTTATTGAATTTATAAATTAGCCCAGTCCCATTATTTGGGAATAATAATGCTTGTCCCCTTTGCCTTTTTCAATGCAATGTGGCAACCATGCAGGTCCTGGAGCTTGGATGTGGAAATTCACAAATGTGTGAAGAGTTGTATAAGGATGGGGTAACAGACATAACATGCATTGACCTCTCATCTGTTGCAGTAGAGAAGATGCAAAAACGGTTATTTTCCCGGGGATTCAAAGGTTAGTTTGTTATTTGCCCAGAACACAACCTGGAATCCTACTTGCATATGGGCTTCTATCAGAAGTCTTTCTTTTACTTGGGAATTGAGATACTGATGGATCCATAACTTTCAGGCTAGAATATCTCAAGGCCTATGAGAAGAGAATGAAGACTAAGGAGAGTATAAGGGACTGGCTAGAGGGAAGAGAAAGAGAGTTGGGTTCTGTCAGTGGCTCTTGGGATGTGTGTGTGTGTGTGTGTGTGGCCCCCGGGGGGGGGGAGTGTGTGTGTGTGATTGGAGATGTCTATAAAATGGGTATGGAGGCATGTGAGAGGGGAGGGCAGACAGTGACTCTGTGAGGTGATTGTCTGGTCTCTTGAATAGGTTTAGGGTGGGAAAGGTCTTTTCGGTATTGTAATCTACTTTGTATGTGGGAGGGTTCTTTTTTTTTTT